CAAATAAAAGATTTGGGTCAAATTTGCTAATGAACGAAAGATTTGATGCCTCAACTACAATTTTTCTTAAAGCGAAATGTCATACTTTATGGTTGCTATCAAGAGCAAAAAAAGAACTCGAACAAAGCAAACCAAAGCTCTAATACAACTTGTTGGGACAAAATGAGGTTATACGACACGATATAAAGTATTGTTCGCAGCAACAAAAATACAAGACACAGATTTTAATTTGGCAAAGTAATTGAAGATTTAATTCAATTATAATTGAAAAAGAAATTACAAATTGTCTCGCCCACAATAATTCTAACATCAATAATGAATATAATTGTAAAGAATAGTCTACTATTTTATAGGGGTACGTCTCAAAACCCTAATAATAGTCCAAAAGATAGAAACTAGGTCAAAAACTCGAACGATGGTGATGTTGGAGCGCCAGGCGAGCGCAATGGGGGTGACTGGTCAATGCTGAATCTCATTGCTCGAGCATCTACTAAACGGTAGGCTAGCGCTGTCAATCCATTTTCCCCCCATGGATCCTATTTAAACATCTACAAGGCCCAATACACCACTCTATGCAAACTCTAGATAAATTTGAGTCAGAATTCCAACAATTTGTTTACCCAAAAAAAGAAGTGAAATATCTAGTGATCGCTCGACTCGACCCTTTAACCCGCGAGCTCATGGGCCGAGCCGAGCCCACGAGCCGCTCGCAAGCACATGTTTTTTTTTTTTAATTTTTTTTTACATATTTTTTTTTAAAAATTCAATTTTTTGGACGAGTCCACAAGGCTCGTGGGCACAAGGCCATGAGCCGCTTGTGGGCTTGATGAGCCGAGTAGGCTTGGCTGGTGAGATCGAGCCCCCTGCTCGGCTCGGGCTTGTCAAATGACGAGCCCCAGCCGCCCATGAGTCTAGTTTTAACGAGTCGAGCAGCCGAACCGCTCAGCCCGTTTGACATCCCTTGAAATATCACATTCTGCAATTAATTTATACTCGTCTACATATGTTGCTTGTTCACAATACAGCTCCTGTTTGGGTTCCATTTTAATGAGAATTTTAGAAAAAAATAATTTGGAGTAGTGATTTTTTTTAAGAATGTGTTATTAAAAAATAAGAAAAATATTTGGGTTTACATAGGAGAATGTGTGGTTAAAAATATGAAAAAAATTTGAATTTGCATGTAATATTATTTTATGGGAGAAGGTGAGGTTAAAAATGAATTTTGAAAAAATGGAACCCAAATAGGGGTACAATATGAGACGATATAAGGAATGTCATTTTGACTTCTTTAATCTTTTATGCTGTCCACGAATATCCTATTCTTCCTATCAATTTGTTATTGTTATTTTAAACTCAGATATAAACAAAAGATACTAAGCGCATTAATTATGAATTTAAAATTTTTAAGTTTCGAATTCAAATTTCTACTTCTCCAATTTCATTTCTTCATATGCAACATGAAAATGTTTTAGCATAAAACAGCATTTCAACCGTTAACACAAGCTTAATGAAGGTACAACAGAATAATCAAATGATTGGCATGTTAATTTCTGGGTATTGATTTTATCCAGTTTTATTAAAAGAGGCTCGGCTTGGACGTTGGTCAGGCGGTAAAGATTATATTACATAAGGGAACACCACATAAATTCTCAATTTAAAAATTACATTTCAAAATTAACAAATTTTTAAAATCTTTCAAAAATAAGGTAATAATTAAATTTATTAAATAGTTAATTATAATATAGTATAATTAATCTACTTATCCTACCCCACCTGCAATCCATCCACTCATCACGTCAAACTCTTCTCTTTCTCTCTCCATCCCACCTCACCTCCGGCGATAACTCCGGTAACTTCTCCAACAACTTCCAGCGATGGTTCCGGCAGCTTCTCCCACGACAATTCCGGCGACTTATCCCGTTCTAACGAATATTTCAGCGGCTCCAACGATGGCTCCGACGACAATTTCGACGACTTATCCCATTCCGACGAATATTCCAGTGGCTCCGGCGACAATTCCGATGAGTTATCCTGTTCCGGGTAATATTCCGATGACCTCTCCCGACCGTTCCGACGACTATTCCAATGATCACTCACATTTCCATTGATTACCTTTTTTTTTCTTCTTTTTTGGCAATGACCTGTGACGAGTTGCATTAGATCTGTGACTTGTGCACATTGTGATCTGTGATCAGTTCTATTGAATCTGTGACTTAATCAGGTGGGATGAATATACATATGATCAAATGAAGATTGAAATTTCAAAAATCAAATAATATTAAAATTTTAGTTATGAAATAATTAATCAAAAAAATATTTTTGTAATTAAATATATTAAATTCACAATTTTTTTTTCTTTTTTCTAGGAAATAACCTGTGACTTGTGTACATTGTGACATAAAATATGATTTTCAACATGTAATTTGTTACTCGTGACTCGTAATATAAAATGTGACCTATAACTTTGATCCGTGACTTCTACAAAACGACATGTGACCTGTTAATATTGATATGTGATCCGTTTATACTGATTTGTGACTTATATGAAATGACTATAACTTATGAACTCAAACTTGCCAATTAAAAAAAGTAATAAAAAAAAGTAAAAATTGAGAATGTCACAATATCAAGTTCGTGGCCTTCAAAATTTATGACCAAATTATTTTTTATGACCAGATTTGTGTTTTATGTAACTAATTGTGACCAAATTTGTCTTTAGTGTGACTATTCGTGACCGTTTAATTTGTGATTGTATGTAATCAAGTGATTAACTTGTATTATCTATGACTAATTGTGATCAAATTTATTTTCAATGTGACTAATCCTGACCAATAAACGATCGGTCACAATAAACGCATACTTGGTCACAGAGAGTCACCACAAGTAATCTGTACACACTGTAGACCAGCACCACAATCCAATACCATCAACACCAATGTACCGTCACTACCACCTTCAACTTAAATCCACGGCCATAAATACTACATTCATGTCAAATCCACGACAACAATCACAATCACCACTATCAACACATTTAACAAGCTGACCATGACACGGCCTGCCTTTTTACGGTTAGCACTACAAATAACAAACCTCCTCACCCTACTATCACAACCTCTACTCGTTCCACCACAATCACAGCTACCACCGCCATAAACAATAAATATACATTTTCAAACATAAATCGAAAGAGATGATGAAGAGTGAAGAGATGGTAAGGAATGATAAGATAAAGATGAAATTTGGGGTGCCACTTGAGAAACAAACCTTTGGATATATCATCACTGACCAAGTTTGAATCAATATCAAATCAAAAATAAAGTTTACTTATAATTCCTTCAAAACGATGGAGTAAAAAAAAGGATGTCAGATAAAAAACTATAGACAATAGATATAGATCCATACAAAATTGTTGTAAGTAAAAAGGAAAAAAAAATGACAAAAGCAGCACAGATTTAAAGCCGGGCAAAGGCGTGAGTTCTTAGGCAACCACTACGAATGTTCCGAGAAAGAAGCCTTCAATTTGCTATCACTGATGCCAATTCCATAAAACCCTACAAGAACTCTCCACCCCCACCTGTGATTTTGGATATTGCTAGGGTGGATGCGCTAGTGGGTGGTGTGGAGAGAGAGAGAGGATGCATTAAAGGGTGGTGGGGAGAGAGAAAGAGAGAGAGAGAGGAGTAGGTTGAAATTGATTTTGAGGATGAATGTGAGGGATTGGGTGCGGGGTGGAGTGATATAGGTAGATTAGGTGTAATTAAATTTTCATTAATTTGAATGAATAAAACTTAACTAACACCTGATTTGTGAAAATGGAATTTAATCCCCTTTGTTTTGAAAATTAATCTTTAAATGTAGGTTCCGATCAAATTTCGAAATTGACTAGGTCAACTAGTGGGTTTTGTATAATTGTTGTGCCAATCTAGCCCGACTAATTTTTAAACCAAATTTCAAAACTTTTCTACATCGAAATTTTAGGGATCAATGATTCAAACACTTGACCTCTAGCTAACTAGAATATGACCTTACCATCATAACATATTAAAAAAAAAAAAAAAACAACCTTGTTGTCTTTTTGTGCAATAAACTATATCTAACCTATAAATAATTTGCCGTCTTCTGGAAATATTTGCAAAAAAATTAGTCCAACATTTCATTCATTTTGTAATATCAAATAATTTTTTATGTACTTATTTGTATGAAAAAAATTAATTTTAATTGAAATAAATTGAATAGATAATAAACATAATTTTTTGGTCAATAACTAATAAATAATTTGTACATCACAAAAAAGAAAAATATAATTTTTTAATATAATATAAAAAATTATAAAATAAAACCATTATCACTAATAAATGAGTTCAAAAAATAATTTATTTAAAGGTATAAAAAAATTAGTGACAAAGAATTTGGAAACTTTAATTTTGTCTCAAGCAAAAAATAAAAATATAGTAATGATCCACTAGTTCAACTAGTAACCTGATGACCTAGTATCTTGACTGGGTCAATGTTCGAGTCGAGTCTGATAATAATGACTTTATCAGAGTAGGCTTATTTCTGGCGAAAAAGGCATAAAAAACTCATAATTCCAAAGATCCTTTATTTCACATGAAACCCTCAATCAATGTCTAGATTGAATACCTATAAAATTAAACCACAGATAATAATTGATACCTAAAAAAATTATTTCAAATAAATTGACATAAAAAAGTAATAGAACCCTCTACCAATACCTAGTACGACGTCGTTTAATCAATCTGTAGGCGGTAAACTAAACTGAACAAACTTTTGAAATTTGAATCTTTGAATATAGCTATTAGTAATACGACGCCGTTTAAAACGGCTAGAAATAAATAAGGCCCGTTAACCGCCTAAAACAGAAGACGTAACAATTTTGAATGCTTTGAATTCACGCAATCAATTCCCCTATAAATTCAAATACCCAAAGCGGTTAGCACCTCGAAGAATTTCTCTAGTTCTCTCCACAAAAGAGAAACATGAAGAATACAACAAACAAGAAGGATAAATCTGCGTTGAAGGCTGAAAGAAAAAGCTTCAAGATGCAGAAAGAATCCATCAAGAAGCAGACGAAGGAACTCTCCGAAATTTGCAACGTCAAGGCTTGCGCTGTTATTATTGGGCCCGATGGGACGATTGAAACATGGCCGGAAAATCGTAACGATGTGCGGGAATTGATCCAAGCGTACAAAAACCGCGGTCCGGAAAAGGAACAGCCTCAAGAACTTGACGGTGATAACGATAAAACTAAGGAAACTGTTTCTGTTGTCTCGGGGAATCCAACCAAAGAAGAAATTTTAAGAAGTATAGATGCCAAATTAGCCGAAGTAAGGAAGCGGATTCAGATCTTGAAGGCCAATGAGATGAAAAAGACAGAATCGTAATTCTTATTTTATTTATATAATTTATGTTTTATTTATGTTTTGAGTCGGTGAAAGGTAGTAATCGTGGGTATGTTTCTTTTTGCTGTTTTAAGGGTGGTTATTGAGTAGAGATGTGCCCTTTAATTCAAGAATAGAATATTGTGTTTAAACTCTAAGCAAGTAATGAATGGAAGAATGAATTATGAGTTGTCTCGAAAACAAACCAATTTCTTGTTTTAATTTTCTTACCATTGGAAACATTTGCTTTCTAGCCATTTACAATGACTATGAACAATTCGGGACATGTCTACTCTACCTCCATTACTTGTAATGCCTTTCATTTTTTTAGGATGAGTGATTAGGATCAAACTTTTAGTTTGGGCCATATTCTTGGTAAAAAAAAAGGTTGGCTATACAGGCCTTGTGAAGCCACATATTTG